CAAATAATTTTCTGTTTACACATATATTTTTGATAAATTTTGAATTTGAATTTTAATTTTGATAGACACTTAAGTATAAGGAAATGTAATTTCGAACAGTCCTTTTGAAATCAAGTACTCTTTAACTTCTGAAAACCAGTTTCTGAGTTGCAACTCACTAACATTCTCTCTTGCAGACGTCAAATTTTGGGCTACTCTTGGTGATATTTCCGAATGCCAGAAACAACTTGAACCATTTATCACCTGGGCCATTATTTTTGAATGCAGTCTCTTGTTTTTTTCCAGTAATTATTCTTTCCACGCTGTCCAACAACATAGTCTTTGTTATCGGAAAATGTCTCTGTTGAAGTAAAATAATCCATTGAACCAAAAATGTCTCCTCTTGATCTGTCAGAATGGTTGAGGGACCCATCTTACAAACTTTTGGCGATTTTCCGCTCGATTTATATAATAAAGTTGTACGAGGAATTCCAGTTTGCCTCGCTACGGCAGCAACTATCTGTTGAAGAGCGTGAGCCATTTCTTCAGGATTATAATTTTTCCTGGGTGCCATATTCCAAATACAAATAAAATCCAGTTATTGACACTCTTTGAACCAGTTATTGACACCCCTGACGAACACTGGATTGGGTCATTTATTACATATAAAATTTAGACTGGCAAAATGGGCGAGGCTCTTATACCTCCAAAACAACAAGCGTTTGATAATAACATCCCATTCCAATCTTCCACATGGAAGTGTCAATTACTGGAATATAATTAATTTTCTAATCCAGTGATTGACATGGCAATATGGCGGGTCAGAAAATATTGAAGTTATACTTTGAGCAGAGTATGCGATCTAACGATTCATATCAGAACTCTCAACACAAAAAGCAACATCCCCTTATGAAAAGCACAAAAGTTGTAAACTTAAACATACCGTAATTACCTTATTCTATCTGCTTCCAGAAGCTGTTTGTAGTCGCCTGATAGTGCGCCACCTTACTAACTAGTATAATTTATTGGAAGGAATGGCGGCTATACCAACAATAGTAGCGGAAAATTCGAAATAATATGGGACAGTTACCTTGAAAATTGATTATATATGAAAGGGTGTCAATTACTGGCAGAGTGTCGAAGACTGGGCAGTTTAGCTTACAAGGAAATGTCGCAAGTACCCATTTGCATCCACTTCCTCTTTAAACTCTCCAACCAAAAAATATATATATATATATTCTGTTTTAGGAGCTGCGTACTTTGGAATGCCGGCACTGCGGCCTGCCACGCATCAACACCCAAATCTACCACTTGTTGCCTTACTTGACGCACCTCGATCTGGGATACAACGCCATCCAGTTCCTCTACCACGACGAGTTTCAGGATCTTCGCCGGTTGCACAGCCTGAAGCTGGATGGGAATTTGTTTCCGGTCATCCTGGAGAACACGTTCGTGCATCAGCAGCAGCTGAAATATTTGAGTCTGGCCTGGAACTGGATCGCCAAGATACCGGAAACCGCTCTAAAGAACCTGACCAGCCTGATCGAGCTGGATCTCAGCTACAATAAGCTCTACAAGCTGGACAGCGTGGCCTTTTCCCATGTGGCCGCCACTCTTCAGAAGCTGGACATCAGCGGGAATAAATTCAAGCTGGACGTTATCAAGCCTGTCCTGGACACAGTCGCTGGCGTTTGGGACTTGGGCTTGGCGCAAATGCAGATCGGAAGTTTGCCAGCAAGTTTTTTCCCTGAGAGAATCCGCAGGTTGAACCTATCCAGGAACAACATTACCCGCATATTGCCGGACATGTTCCCCAGACAACTGGAGCTTCTGGATTTAAGCAGCAACAAGCTCAAGGGCCTCAATGCTAGCGCTGTGCTCTTTTTGCAAACTCTCGAAGTGGTGAACATTCACCACAACCCATGGACGTGTGAACTGTGTCACATCAGCGACATTTACTTCCACGCGAACAAAACGAACTTGTTCACAAACGCAACCTGTGCCTTTCCCAGTGCTCTAAAAGGGAAACCGTTAGTTAAGCTCAACCTAGAAGAAATTCCTCCGTGCGGAGGCATCGAGTATACGGAGGAGGACTTTGAGGCCACCAGCAAGCGCGGTCTGTTCATCGGGTTCTTGTGCATCGTCACATTCGCAGTGTCTTCGGTGATTTTTGTGGTGTGTTCGTGTGTGAAGCGACACAACCAGAATGCGGCCCGAAGGGACAAACGGACTGCGGAATGTCCGGAGAACAGTATCGATCATTCGGCCGTGTTCAGCAAGAGTCCGATCAGTTTCCAGTTTCCATTGGATTTAATGGAAAGGAAACTGTCCGTTGCCACTATCGGGGACATAAAACGTGACGAACGCCAAGGAATGTCGAATGGATCGGTTGTGACTGGTCTTTGAGTTCTCTGTACTATATCTATATATTTTATCAGTGTTTGTTGGAAGGGCAAGAAAAGAGCATGTGAAGTGTTTGAAAAATGAGAAGTTTTTCATTTTTGAATCAACGATGCTTGAATGGAATAAATCAGTAATACGGAAAGTGTGAGCACGTAGGAAGATTTTCATTTGAACCAACACACATGGGCGACTCTGCATCTCTAAACTGTTGTTTGCAAAGCGAACACGGCAGGGTTTGATAGAGTATCGAAATATGAGTTTGCACTGTAATCAAAACTTGGGGAAAATAGTGGGTGTTAAAGTGGAAAAAGGCTTCGAAAAATCAAATTTATTAATTAATTAAGGGAAATTTGGGGGCAATAACTGCGAAT